AGTGGCAGATTGTAACTGTTCGGTCTTCTGTACAATCTGCCGCAGGGTATGTATGTGGTCTATGGTACTGAAGCCTTTTCGGAAACCGGCTTGTTCGGGAGGCTGGAAGTCGTCGAGTCAGCGTGCGAGACGATTTGTAATGACTCTCGAAAAGAGCACGTAGACGCGGCTCAGAAGGGATATCGGTCTGTAGTTCTTCAAGAGAGCGTTGTCACCTTCTTAAAGAACAAGACCACCGCACTTCTGCTCCACGCCTCCGGAGTAGTGCCACCATGAAGGACGGAATTGAAGAGCTTCTGAAGGACTACAAGTACCGGTGTTCCACCCGCTTTCAGAAGCTCCGCTGTAATTCCATCCTCGCCTGGGGCCCTGCCGTTTTTAAGGTGCTGGAGAGCCATTTTAATCTCGCTCAGACTGATGTCCGGGATATCATCGGAATAGTGTCGGGTAAGACTTGCTCTTGGACCGTTACTCGCACTTGCGTGTGGCTCCAACGATGATGAGAGTTTTTGTGTTCTTCTGCGGCGGGTCTTGCAGAACTTAGCTCCGACCGCATGGACAGTTTCCACGAGCTTGTCATTCATATCGTCCACTGCATTGCAATCTTCTAGGCACTGAAAGCGGTTACGTAACTCGAGCTGAAAGTTTTCGGGACTCTGGATTAGAGCACGAGGCGGACAGAGCGTCAACGTCTAGGTTCAATGTGTCTCTAACCATTCGGTGATCGCTGCCGGTTTTCACCCTTGCGATCACTGAGACATCACTGAACAGTTGGCGTCTGGTCGTCATATTGAAGTCAATCTCATTTTTTGTCGAACCGTCGGGGCTCGACCAGGTCCACTTCCTGTGGGGCCGCTTCTGGAAGAAAGAGTTCATCGTAAATAGTCCCTCTTTCTCGGCGTTCCGTTGCCCTACCTACTCCAAATTTCCCAAACTTCAGCTCACCGTTTTCTCTTGTGCCTTGTTTTGCATTGAAGTCTTCCATCAACACCGTGTAGTGGGTTTAGGAGGAATGCATGGCTCTAGAAATATCCTCATACATTTTCTCCACCTCCTCATCGGGATGTGCCGAGGTTGGTGCGTAGACCTGTATGACCTTCAGCGAATACCGTTTGGTGATTCTGAGTATCAGGTACGCGACCCTCGTCGACACACTCCCAATCTTTACAACGTTGTTGACGAGAGACTTGTGGACGATAAATCCGACACCTTCTTTGGACAGATGGTCGCCCTCCCGGTGATAAAACAAGTTGCCGGACTCGAGGCTTACCGTGTCCTCCCCCTCTCTTCGGACCTCAGATAATCCAATAATATGCCAGCGCAACTTATCTACCTCTTCTTCTAGCTCCAGTATCTTCTCGTCAGTCCTCAGGGTGCGTGCGTTATATGTTGCCAGGTCGAGTCGTCGTAGGTGGCAACCGAACCTCCACCGGAGATTCTTAGCACCCCCTGCCCCGCCGTTATCATGGTCGCCACCGTGGCCAGGAATAGCGGGGCCGCCGGGGACTGGGGGCCGTTTGTTTGCGTCGTTGCTCATGGGGTGATATTTGCCATAGTTTCCACGCTTGGCGAGCGGATTGGCAACCGCAGTTTTTTATTATATTATTGTTGTTATTAGGAAGATGCTGCTGCCCATCTCCTTTCTCTGCACCGCTGTCGCCTCTTACGACACCCACGGGAAGATATGGGGCAGTGGATATTCTCAAGCGCCACTACACGGCATACCGCCACTACACGGCTTAATGGAGCAAATAAGGATTAATCGTCCAGCCCAAAAATGACATTGGAGAATGTAAGAGATATGAATAATATTACTGAAGTACCTGCAGATGAAATAGAAGACCACTGACGATACTATAAAAAATGTGACGTAAAATAAGGTATTAATATTAAGTGTTCAAAACGGCAATGGCTTTCGCAGTTTATTTCAAAATGTAACTGGTAAATAATTCCAAGTGACAGCTACAATAAAATCTAATGCTTTTCTATTACAAAATTAACATCTTAATACTGTATGTGAAGATGGCAGCACTCGTCGATGAAAGCCAGTGAATGTTATGCATCCTTTGACAGTTACGAACCAAAATTTTATCCATTTTGGACGCGTAGAGAACAGAACTAGGAGAGCTTTCTAGAAGATGCCATGCTAGAACTTTCCCACTAGCGCAATCTAGTATTGAGTGGCAGAACTAGGAGAGAACTTTCTACACTTAGTCGGTTGGGACCGGTATGTGCTCAAACATTCTAGTATATATATATATAAGGCCAGTAAAGAGCGCGACCGAGTCAATATTGAATTGGCGATTTAGCGAATACTTCGAAGCGATGTAATTGCGAACTAAGTGTTAAGTGTGATTAATTAATTATTAGTGTGTTTTAGTTTAGTTTAACGACGTGCTGTTTTCCGCAACTCCACGTCTAAGCGCCATATTTTGCGTGTGGGCAGGAATAATGTAGTTATTCGAACCATGATATTTCCCCGAAGAAGTACAACAGTCCTTTGATGTTGCAAGCAACTTCGGGGAGCGATCCCAGCGTGACGAGATGTTTAGCCCTGTATGATATAGTTTATATAGTAGTTATATTAGTGTGTTTTAAGTTGTAATTGGAGTTCGGTAATTAACGTGTCAATTTTGGTAATTCAATCGACAGTTTTTATTGTCACGAACCGTACGCTCGTAACAATTGGTGGCAACAAAAAGTGGGATCAAATCATACCGATTTTACCGAAGGGTGACACGGAGGGTGTCCGTACCCGAAGTCAACGCCAGCAGGAGACGGACCAGGGACGATTTGGTGGTGCAACGCCGCAGATGTCGGAGAGCCAGCCGCCGGCCACGGAGGAACAGGTCCGTCAGTTGGAAGAGCGGATGTTCCTCATGAAGGACCTTCGCACTACCTTCGGGAACGAGATGTAGTTGAAGGATAGGGTTTGTAAACAAGGTGACGGAGTTGTACCACCTTCGCTACGTGGATTCAAAGTGCCACCGTTCGACGCGACTTTTTCCAGGTCGGCCTACAAAATCCAGTACGAATCTGTCATGAAGGGGAATCGCTGGAATAAAAGTCAGGCCATGACTGCTCTTACACCTACCAGGCCTTAACTGTTCTGAAAGCTCTCGGCAAGGAAGTGACTTACGGGCAGCTCCTAGAGGCATTGTAGGCGAGATATGGCGATGCTCACCTGGAACACGTCTTTCGTGCGCAGCTTAAAGATTGCGTGCAACGCATCAACTAAAACCTGCAACAGTGGGCTCTTGCGTTGCACGCGATCATAAAAAAACCGGCGGCTTGGGCTGCCGCATCGGATTTGAATTTTTTACCTTGTAAGACGTTGTCCAAATTCAGGAAAAAATAGTAATCTGTTGGAGCAAGGTCCGGGAAGTACGGTGGATGTCGCAGACATTCCAATTGTAGCTCATCTAACTTAGTGGTTGTGTGTTATCCAGTGTGTGGTCTTGCGTTGTCGTGAAGCAGCAGTGACCTAGAGCGATTGACCAATCTCGGTTGTTTAGCAGCTAGTTCTTCCTTCATGGTTTGCAGTTGCTGACAATGGATGTCTGCCGTAATCGTTTGGACAGATTTTAGAAAGCTGTAGTGAACGACATCGGCGCTAGTTCACCAAACACTCACAAGTAACTTTTTCTGAGTCAATTTTCGTTTAGGGCAGGATTTGGCTGGGTCTCCAGGGTTCAGCCATTTCGACGAGCGCTTCCGATTATTTTACAGTATCCACTTTTCATCACAAGTAATGATTCGATCTAAAATCCCTTCATGTTTGTGTCGGTTGAGCAAAGTAACAGCACAGCAGTCGACACGGGTTTGCAAGTTCGATTCATTCAATTCATGAGGTACCCATCGTTCAAGTTTTTTTACTTTCTCGGTTTGCCTCAAGTGGTTTAATACAGTTTTATCACTTACTCCGTAGACTGCAGCTATCTCTGAAGTGCTTTGTGATGCATCCGACATTTGATATATGGAATTATGTTCTGGGACAACTCTTTTCACATTTGTTTTGCAAAATATGCTTAAACAATATGACTCATTAAGAAATGTATTTATATACTGGTATTTACATACTTGAAATTTCTGTGTTTGTGAAAGATAACCAACAACGTTTTAATATAAAAAAAAGAACTAAAAAAGGAACTTTCATAAAAATATATTTTTGAGGTATTTTCTGTTAAATCTTCTAGTTACATTTATAGTAAGAGCACAGAATAAATAATAGTACTACGTAGTAAGAGTAGCTTTAATAATAGGTAGCTGAATTCTTAACCATTTACCTAAATTCATTAAATAATCGAGAGCCCACGACTTGAAAAAAACTAGAATGGTTATTATCAAAATGTTTTTATAATTTAGATGTATATTTTAAAAGTAATTATTGATTTATTGTTGTGAATTATTTTTGTTATTGTATGTCCGAAATAAACAATATGTCGTAAATATATTCTGTATTTGTAAGATCTCACGTACACAGTTGTAACAGTAAATTACTATCTTTATCTTATCTTATATTTTTGCCTATTTGTTTTTTTGCTATTTTTACCACACAATTTATAGAGGCCACTCCTTTGTAGAGGCCACGAGCTAAAGCCCCTTTTTTATAGAATAGGGTAACAAACGCGCACACAGACTCTTGATGGTAAGTGAATCCTGTGACCCATAGACATCTGCATTTAAACTCAATTAAGAATTAAAATGCAGATGCGTTTTCACCCCTAAGGACTAAGATGGAATGCCTCATTTCCAGTAAAAAGGGTCTCCGGTTCCCTACGCTTACCATACGAAACACAGAAGCATTAAGTTGCTATTTTACACTGTTGCCCTGGCTTAAATCCATCCCTGATTGTATCATATATCCCTGAAAGAATGATCAAAAACGGTTCACAACTTACAAAGATGTAGTCTAATACGCATACAAAAATACAAACAGTCGAATTATGAACCTCCTCCTTTTTTGAAATTGGCTTAAAATTATATCTATGATTCCACAGAGTTTCCCAGATAAAGAAGAACTACTCCGCAATATGATGGGTCTATTGGGCAACGTTGCTGAAGTAGCTGAATTGAGGCCACAACTGATGAACACGTTGTTCCTTAACGTCTTCTATGATCTTCTTGACTCTTCTTGCGACGGTATAGAGGTAAGTAAAACTAATAGTTTAAGCCTCATTTCAAAGCTATTAACAGTTTTATACATTAATACTTAAATTATTTTTTTTATACCGTGTGTATAGCACAGGGCAGCAACGGCTTTGGCCAAAAATACCTCATAGTCTTTAATAGATGGTTATTTATACAAGTCCACTGCTAAACATAGGCCTCCCCCAGGTAATGCCACAAAGCACGGTCCTGAGCCACCATGCAGTGTCGCATCGACTTCCTGCATATCTTAACAGGTCGTCACTTCATCTAGTGGGGGGTCGACCTACAGTACGCCTACCGGTACGAGTATGCCACCCGAGAACCTTTTTTCCCCATCGGTTATCGGTTCTTCGAGTTATATGGCCAGCCTATTGCGACTTCAGCTTACTAATCCGTTGGACTATGTCGGTTACTCTAGTTCGACTGCGGATTTCCTCATTTCTGAATTTATCATGCAGAGAAACCCCGAGCATAGACCTCTCCATAGCTCGCTGAGCAACCTTGAGCGTCCTCATACGGCCAGTAGTGAACAGCCACGTCTCAGATCCGTAAGTCATCACTGGCAACACGCACTGGTTGTACAATCTAGTTTTCAAAGTTTGAGGTATACCTGACGAGAAGATGTGTCGGAATTTCCCGAACGCTGCCCGGCCGAGTTGAATCCGTCGATTGACCTCTCGGTTGAAGTTGGACTTACCTAGTCGGACTATTTATCCCAGGTAAACGTACTTGTCAACAACTTCGAGCATAGTTCTCCCAACAACTACTGGCATAGGTATGACATGGACATTGTGATGACATGATCTTTGTTTTGTCCATGTTCATTAAGACCTATTCGTTGGGAGACACCATTGAGGTCATTGAACATAGTGCTTAGGTCCTCCAGCATTTCTGCCATAAGGTTTATATCGTCGGCAAATCAAAGGTGAGTGATGTACTCGCTATTGATGTTAATGCCGTATCCTTTCCAGACCAGTAGCTTGAAAACGTCTTCCAATGCAGCGGTGAAGAGTTTTGGGGATATAACGTCACCCTGTCTTACACCTCTCTGCAGTTGGATAGATTTCGAACTCTGATTCTGTACTCGGATAGCCATCGTAGCCCTACTGTACAAACACTTCAGCACTTCGATATACCGACAGTCAACTTGGCACCGCTGAAGGGACTGTAGCACCGCCCAAATTTCGACGGAATCAAAGGCTTTCTCATAGTCCACATACGCCAGGAAAAGTGGCAGATTGTACTCTTCAGTCTTCTGTACAATCTGCCGCAGAGTATGTATGTGGTCTATGGTACTGAATCCTTTTCGGAAACTGGCTTGTTCGGGAGGCTGGAAGTCGTCGAGTCTGCGTGCGAGACGATTCGTAATGACTCTCGAGAACAGCACGTAGACGCGGCTCTGAAGGGATATCGGTCTGTAGTTCTTCAAGAGAGCGTTGTCACCCATCTTGAAGAACAAGACCACCGCACTTCTGCTTCACGCCTCCGGAGTAGTGCCACCATGGAGGACGGAATTGAAGAGCTTCTGAAGGACTTTAAGTACCGGTGTTCCACCCGCTTTCAGAAGCTCCGCTGTAATTCCATCCTCGCCTGGGGCCCTGCCGTTTTTAAGGTGCTGGAGAGCCATTTTAATCTCACTAAGACTGACGTCCGGAATATCATCGGAATAGTGCCGGATAAGACTTGCTCTTGGACCGTTACTCGCACTTGCGTGTGGCTCCAACGATGTTGTGTACAGCTGCCCATAGAGCCTCTCAATCTCACTCAAAATCTCAGGTGTCCCGGAAACGATGCTGCCACACTCAGTCTTCAGCCTTGACAGTTGGCTCTTTCTGGTAGACAGATCTCTGGCAAAGACTTGCTGGCCAGCCCTGGTTCCGCTCGATCGCTTCTTCAATACGAGCTGTATTGAAGTTGCGTAAGTCCTGCCGCATGCATTTTTTACGTAGTAGAGATGCTGGTAGAGACGTGAGCTTAAGCTGTTGTGGGGTGTGGACCGGGACCCTTTTTACTAGAAAAGAGGCATTCTGCTTAGTCCTCAGGTCGATTTTTTTATGGGTGTGGTTTGTATTTTTCTTAAATGCATTGGAGATTTGTCTGTTTAGTCGCTTGTAAGCATACAAATCAAATGCCGTCTAACAGCCATGAGATTAAGAGTGGTACTTCAATGGCGTGTTGGCTAAATGCGTGGCAATGCTCGAAGTTTTATTTTACATTGATATCGGGAAATTGATGTCAAACCTGATGGGGTTGATAACGATATCGAAACATTTTTCGTGATTTAGGTTCTTGAATAATTTCTATATTATGGACGAAATACTTAAAATGGTGCGCTATTTTCTTTATACATAGTACGTGAGGATAATATGGTTATCCGATTAAATATGGTCACTTTCTTATAACTCATAAACTACATCCTTGTTTGCATGGATGGCTCTGTGATACGACAGCTCTTCATGTGCTTCAATGGGTGCGTTTGGCAGAAAAAAAGCGCTAGCAAGCGCTTACAAGCGCTAAAATAGTTTTCGGCCAGGACACGATTGCTACTTCAGTAGCGCTGACACAATCCGCCATTTTGCTTATTTAATTTGTTTGTTTTTAAGTAGAAAATATAAGTTGTTTTGTGCAATATTAGTTTCAAGGAATATAATGACATGAATAAACATATTATACATGTTATTAAAAATTCATGGTTGGTAAGTTTTTAATATAAATTACTTTACAAACATATATTTAAATTAGGTTAGGTTCCTCGGTTAAAGCTAACTTCGTGTCCTAGAGGAAAATAGCTACTTACGATTTGACAGCGCTTACCGCTTACGATCGCCATTTTGCTTACAAGCGCTTGCTAGCGCTTTTTTCTGCCAAACGCACCCAATCAAATAATAAAGGGTCAAAAGGGCGCTAATTTATCCAAGCCATTTTGACAGTTGACATTAAAGTAAATATTTTAGTCGATTTTAGTATTGTGTAGTGTAGTTAATTTTTTTAAGTGTTTTTTAAGTTATTTTTTTACTTAACATACTAGTTATAGTATACGATTTTGTGTTTTCGTTTTTGTCCTCCTTATGTGGCAGCAAAGCTTAAGGTACCTCACGTACCTTACCACTGAACTGACTAGTTAAAGTTTTTTTATTAGCTAATGTTGACGAAATAATGAGATGTGCTATACATACAAACCAATATAAATACTGTTGCTATTCTATAAAAAAAACTATTTTTGTTTATCTTCTGTACCTATATGCCGTAATCTTATAGATTATTGTATTAATGATATATAAAAGGAAATTAGGTAAGTGGCTAGGCAACTGTTTCTGAAAGAATCGTAAACAAAAGACGAAAATATCTATGCAACTCGGCGCACAATAGTGTTAGTCGTCGGCGTAAAGTTAGCTATAAAGATTTTAGCATTGGTAGACAAGTTGATTACCGTGTAGTGGCGGTGTGAGATATCCAGTAGCCCATAGCATCCCGCGGGTGCCATAAGTGGCGACAGAGGGAAACAAATCTGGAGAAGGGCAGCAGCGTCTTCCTAATAAAAACTAAAAATAAAAAAACTGCAGTTGCCAAACCGCCTGCTAAGCGTGGCAACAATGGCAAATTATATCCCCCTATGAGACAATCTATGGGGGAGGGGGCTTTGTTCAGCAGTGGAGAGGCTGTAGCTGTAACGAGGTAATGAGGTAAGAATTATCTAACAATGGAATGTAAAACAAAGTCACGTATTCACATCCTTGCATTCGTTTGAAGTGTTTGACTACTATTCCATTTGATGACAAGACTGGGTGATACAGCTGAACATTTCAAATCATATAAGTCAATGCAGCCATAAATGCAAAATACAACTACTTGACGGATTTTGATGCAGTTTTCACTAGTATTATACGAATTTCACAAGGAATGACTTTGTGTTTAATATATTATACACATTTTATGTAAGGATCGTTGAGAAATGCTGGCGTTTTGTGACTAATTTGTAGAAAGATCATATACGCTTCTTCAACTCACAAGTGTGAAGTCCGGCTAGATGTTATTAATGTTATAAATTATTGGATATGATGTATGGATGGATTAATTTAGGTCCCAAATTGGTATCCAGTTGACGTACCTTCACTGAAACTTATGTTAAGCCCAAATAATTCAGGTTTACTAATATTATTTGTAGATAAAACTTTTAAATTTAACATGTTGAATGACTTAAACGTGCATGCGTTATTAAATTTTCTGATATTAAATCGGAAACTTTTTGTGTTCTTTTGCGGCGCGTCTTGCAGAACTTAGCTCAGACCGCATATATAGTTACTGCATTGCGGTCTTCTAGGCACTGTAAACGGTTTTGTAACTCGAGCTGAAAGGTTTCGGGACTCTGGATTAGAGCACGAGGCGGACAGAGCGTTAACGTCTAGGTTCAATGTGTCTCTAACAATTCGGTGAGCGCTGCGCTGTGAGCCAGTTTTCACCCTTGCAATCACTGCGGCATCACTGAACAGTTGTCGTCTAGTCGTTATAATGAAGTCAATTTCATTTTTGTCGAACCGTTGGGGCTCGTCGACCAGAGGCCCTAGACAAAGTCACATTTTCAATAACGATAACGAATTTAGATAACATATAAAAATTAAGCTTTCGAAATATCACGTGATCGATCGCTTTCGATCGCTAATTGCTAGTCCATAAAATATCATATAAAAAACCTCTAGTGATATTACTCACTTAATGATAAAAGTAGGTACACATTTTTAAATATTCGAATGATCAGTTAACTCTGAATTTTAAATGAAGTAGTGCAATACTTGCAACGCTACTTGTGAAGCGTTGCTTCTGAATACTGGACTGACCCTCCACATTCAAATTCCCCATGAGAACCCACACCCTCTCCTCAAAAGTCGTGAGGGTTTGGCGACTACTTAGCCCACCACCTGTACCTCTTGCATGACGCCTTATTAGCTATGTTTTTTTGTTTGTTTGCAGTCTGCCCAAACCTTCGAAATGAATTAAGCAATATGAAGGAAAGTTAGGTATTGAGTAATAAGTAGTAAGTATAATAAATAGTAGGTGGTTAATATAGAAAAAATAAAGTATAAAGTGATTATGACCATTTATAACTGTTCAATTGTTACCTTTTTCCATTTGTCTGCCGATTTATTTACACCACCGTTTTAGTTTTGAGTTCAATATTGATACCAACGCGCACCACAGCCGCTCGGAGTTCAAGCGTCCTTGAGGCCCACTCTGGGGATTTGATAGATCGCCGTGACTGCAATTGAAAAAGGATAGGGTCATAAGCAACTGATTGTTAGGATCACGTCATTTTGTACATGGAGCATTCTCAAGTCATTTGAATTTAGTCAAGTTCATGGTTTAGTTTAATAATTCCTTACCTTTCCATGAACTCCAAGAGGGTCGAAAATTGTTCACCACTAGCTCGAACTCGTGGCTCCATTATAATTATCCTTAAAAATAAAAAAATAAACTGTCAGTTCCCGCTGGTTTATCGTTATAAATATGTAATATACTCACAACCATTGATATCCAAAAAACTTGTTTAATTTTAACACCAATAACTTCACTTTCACCAAGCAAACTTTACTTTAATAAGTTATCAAGGATGTTTTGTTTATATTTAGCGCGCCCGGTCGACACAATTGACGTGTTGAATTTGACATTTCATTTCGAGACCATAGCCAAGAGGTTGACTTTTATCGAATGAACGCTTCGACTCAGCGTTCTGTCACCTTGTTTCCACCACCACTTTTAGTTCGATATCGCTAAGACGAAATCGATTTTCGATATCGATTAGATAGATTAGACACGGAGCGATATAGCGAGATAATAAACCTCCTATGATTCACTTATCTGTCTTCACATAATGCGCAATTAGTACATTTAAGTAGTTTCCAGAGTTTTGGTCAATTTGTTTTTCATATCTTCATATTACTTTGATATGAAATCCATTTATGCTTTGATGTCAGTGTTTTGCTTATAAAATGATTTCCTGTATTGTGTCTAGCTGCTTGGTTAAAATTCCAGTTGATTTCCTTATTTCCACCATAAAAGAAGCTAGCTCGTTATGATGTTGACGTTTACGGGGTCGATTTCTATTCTGATTATTCACAATGGAGCTTCCGTTATCTGTACCAGTAGGTAGAACAGATGTTTGATTTGCGTCCAGGATGCTTCCTATTGTGGAGTAGACGATGGAGTATTCTATTGTGGTATTTTTAATTAGGACAAGCTACTCTTGTGACGTAGTTGGAGTGACGTCGGTGAAGCGAAGCTGGATCGTTGTGCTTGTCTCCACTGTTAATGTCTCTTTCATACCCGTTCGCCCCCACTCTGTACCACTGCAAATTACCTGAAAGTTATGAAGTCCTAGTACTTTGCCGGAAACTAATTCGTTGATTTGCATTAAAAAAATAAAGTTACAACCTATATACGTCCCACTGCTGGGGACAGGCCCCCACTCATTTCTGAGAGGGTTTTAGGGCAAGGAAGCACGGCATGAATTTAAATTATCAAAAATAATGGATATTTACCAAGAAAAAAATCCGAAGAGCAATGAAAGCTAAGCGCTATCGCAATCTAGAGGGAAAGGCACAAAAAATGTAGATTTTTACTTTATCAACAAAGTCCCTGATAAGCCTATTTTTTTTTTTGTTTGTTTGTGAAAGTGAGCGTTATTATTAGAAGAATGAGTTACTTTATCAGAAATTTTTAAGTAAATTTTGGGTGTTTTGGCTAGTGGAAATTATTGGGGGTATATGGGAAATGCGGGAACAGTAGTATAAATTTTTATAATTATATTTCAAAATTGTTGAACAATTTAGAAATATAAATAAATAAAAATTAGAACTGTGTTACTTCTAACTTGCAACGTTTTATTCACAAGCTTACGAATTATAAAAAAACCTGTTGGAAGGCTTTTTATTGTATAAAATATAAGAAGTCATTAAAGCCGTATAATTTAGTTTTATTCACTGAAATATAAAAATACAAATATAAATATGAAATTATTTTATGTGTATGTAGGTGAGCTACAACGCGGCCGGTGTCCTCGCTCATATGGCGTCCGACGGTCCCCAAGCTTGGACAGTTGAAGAGCCTGACCGCGATGAAGTTCTGGAGCGCGTCGCCGCAGCAGTCCAACGCTGGGACTTGCTTGCTGAAAGGAACATCAATTACCGCTCTTTCGAACCGATCCTCAGCTTGTTGAACGCCCACCATACCCCGCAATGCCAGCACTGGGCGGTCTGGGCACTTGCTAACCTCACCACTGTTTATCGTAAGTAGCCAATTTTGAGAATAGTTCGGTAAATTATTGCACGGCAAGCCATTTCATAAGTCACTTCACAGGTCATTTCGCAATCCGTTTGTGGAGTGCTATTCTTTTTATTTTTACTTTACCTCCACACTAGAATTTTCTGCTATATTGTAGTGGCCTTAATTAATGGTCCTTCACCGCTTAAAGTATGAAGAAGATCTCCCAGCGAGCAATGATGAAAAGAGCTAAATTTCTCTGTGTGATAAAATTCGTAACGAGTATATCTGCACAAGTTGCTGATGTCGCCTAACAGAGCAGTAAATTCTATCTATCTACTGATTAGTAAGCTGAAGTGGCATTAGGTCGGCCATATAGTTCCCGATACAGAACCGACAACCGATGGGGAAATAAGGTCCCCAAGTGGCAGCCTCGTACCGGTAGACGTAGTGTAGGGCGACCTCCCACTAGATGAAGTAACGAATGCAGGTGGCTCAAAACTGTTCTCTGGAATTTCTTGGGGTAGGCCTATGTTTAGCAGTGGATTTGTGAAGGGCTGTAATGGAGATGATGATGATGATTATAGTGACTATTTATTATAGCCTAAAACACCTGCAGCAGCCAACATTAAACATCGAAGTATTCACGTGCATTTATCACCCCCGAAAACTAAGATGGGATGCCACATAGTCTATAATTTTACTGAGTTGGTACTGTTGATATTAAACACGATAAGATAATGCAGCTTTTATGTAATTTTCATCAGTGAATTACTCTCAATTTCTATTCATGCATTAGGAGCCTGATCTCTCAAGGGTTGTGTTGGAATTTTGTCCCATCGGACTTTGAGAGTGAAGGAACAGAGAGTGCACCTGTATTCCCGTATACACGCTATAATTTAGAGCAAATAGATAGCTAGTTTCCGTTGAAACTGCCCGCCGTGATCAAAATTCGGCATGGAACACATTATTTTTTAAATAATTTTGACTTTGATACTGAAACAGCACGTGCCGCTAATGGGCAGCATACTATTGTAGAGTAGTGATTTGCAATCATGCTGGTGAGCATCATATTACCTTTGGTTATTAACGTCACATGTTTATCACTTGTACCGCTTGGTGGCGTAGAACTGATCAATATCTCGCACAGAATAAGTATTTTAATTTATGGCCTGTAACAAATAATGATCCCGGATCTGGATGTTTGTCTTTGTGCAATACATATACGAAAAATAAATAAGTAAAAAATGCTCCTAAGTTACAGTAGTGGAACCTAGAAGAACAAAGTAACATGATATGCACTCGATCTCAGTTTTTTCTTTATAAAAGGTGTAAAATTAGTATTCAGTATTGGTCCTTGATTAAGAATCATATTGAAAATGGGTTTTGACCCTTAACGACTAAGATAGATTGCCTTGTTTCCAACAAAAGGATTTCTTGTTCCGGACACTAACCAGACGAAATACAATAGCATTCTGATGCTTTTTACACTAAGATGTTGTGGAATTCTGTAAGTATTAGTTATATATAGACCGCCCCGGATTTATGTATCATATTAATCGTCATCATTCATTATCATAACAGCCCTTCACAAGTTCACTGCTGAACATAGGCCACAAAGCCACGTACATCCATCAACTTCCTGCACGTCTTACCAGGATTTGTGGGGACGTTCTACACCTCGCCTGCCGATACGAGGCTGCCACTCGAGAACCTTCCTTCCCCATCAGTTACTGGTTTTTCGAACTATACGGCCGGCCCATTGTCACTTCAGCTTACTAATCCATTGGGCTATGTCGGTCACTCTGGTTCTACTGCGGATATTCTCATTTCTGAATTTATCACGCGGAGGAACCCCGAGCATAGCACTCTCCATAGCTCGCTGAGCGACTTTGAGCTTTCTGATACGGCGAGCAATGAAGGACCACATCTGAGGATAGTCGCCAATCACCATACCAAGACTCCTCTTCCCTTGTGATTCCACCTTGACTGCAGCGGTACAGGGTGAGGAATCTCCTCTAGCCGCAGCCCACACTTCTATGGGGTCGACAAGCCCACTCAGAGTGACTGCCTCCGCCAGCCATGTGCTAATCTAAATCTATATGTTTTTGACATAGTCATCATCATCATTACAGTCGTTCACAAGTCCACTGCTGAACATAAGCCTCCCCAAGGAATGCCACAAACCACGGTTCTAAACCACCTGCATCCATTGACTTCTACTTCCTGCTGCTACTCGAGAGCCTTACTTCCAGTAGTTCAGTAAGCGTAGTGTAGGGCGGCTCCCAACTAGATGAAGTGAGAACCTGGTTTAGTGTCGCGGCTTTCCTTAGGAGTGACCAAACATAATACGCTCTGTTATGATGATGATGATGAGCTCTAATGGATATTTCCCATCAGGTGGACTGGATTTTTTTATTCGTTTGTCACTTTAATTTTATGAAAAATGATTACCATTTAGTATCCTTAGGATGTAATGGTATAATTTTTTTTTCATTAATATTTCCTTATGTCAGAATATCACTTTCAGTAATATGCTACTACCGTACTACATAGCTAAAAGATTAATTTGCTAAAATATTTTTAACCTATGGTGGCAAGGGTAAATATCGACAAAGTACAATACTGAACCCCACATACTCTCCGTACTAATATTAAAAATATTGGGCGTATACATGTTACTGCACTTGCCAATCCGCTTGTCAAGCGAGGCGATTACAGCAAATACCTAAAGATATCACCACGTCAGTGTACCGGGCTTTTTTAGTTCTTAAATGAGTTGACCTGGATTATTATGGTCTCATGTTTCCAGCTGAAAAATACTGCGGCTTGGTCCAACAAGAGGGCGGGCTGACACTTCTCAACGATCTCGTTAAGCATCCAGAACCTTATGAAGTTATAAAGGAATTGGCGTACATTGTCATCAGTAACTGTTCGAAGTTCGCCCTCCCTTATAGCGAGTACACTTCTCAAATGTTTAATTGCGACAATTAACTAATGGAGTACTTTGAGGAGATGGATCCCGAACTGAGGGAATAAGCACAGGTTCATCCTCCGGTTGGTACAGCTTTGTTTCGTACGCGTTAACTGTATTTGTCAATGCTTGGATCGTACTCGAATTATTATGTACATCCGACGGCGTCTAGAAGCTTCCAGAGCATGTGCGTTGTGCTTAGATGGTGCTGCGCACTGTTAATATCGGCGATACGATTGTATTTCCGATTGCAACTAGTTAGGAGTGCGATTCTTATCGGGACGACTGAGGTATCAACCTGTAGCAACATCTCCACGGACTCAGTGAGTGAGAATTATTAAAGACAATTTCGTATCAGCTCATCGCAGAGCGTTATTTAAGTACAATTTCTTAAACCCAAACGGCGTGTGCCAATTTTCGATGTTTCCCAAACTTTTGCGTCGCCCACTCGGCGGCTATGTCGATGATTTAATCGAGCTTAATAAAAACGTTACATTTATCGTATTGGACTTTGGTGTTTAGTGTCCTATTTACCGAAAAAAAGAAAAAAAAATGAATAAATTAGTGTTTCTACAAGTTTTACATTGTATAACTTAGACTCCCATGAAGTTGTGTTTTAAAAATATTTTCCTATCGAAAGAAATCTTACCCTAGCCTAAAAATAGATTTAATGTACCATAGATAATAATGATGATTTTAAACTAAGGCTACTTGTAAGTTTCTTTAAAAGTCACAGTTTTATGATCTGTTTTAAGCCTATCTATTAAAGTTTAGTAAATAATTATTTGTCATTTTAATTACAATTTTCAAGTTGCAATATTATTAATCTAGTATCCCGCAAAGCGGAAAACATTGTTAGAGCGTAAGCACACTAAGCATTCTATCTACGAAATTGCGTTTAAAAACTGCTTGTCTTAGTATTATTAAAATGTTTTAATGATGTGAATTGGATAAAGATACTTTATCGTCATAACATTTACTGCGATCATAATTTTAAATACTAACACGTCTGTCAATATAAGCGTAGCCTTGACGGTAATTTTGCTAACTCTTAGAATATTCTATCATACAGATATTCCAAAACAAAAAACTAAACGGGTCCATGACCAATCCAAAACTCGGTGCCAATATCTTTTAAACCTGTTGTTAAAACGTTGCGATAAAACGCTTAGTGTGCGATCGGGAAAAAAAATAATATCCCATACTATCAACTTTAATAGTTGTTGTCTAGGACTAATTATAATAAATATGCATAATAATTGCTGATGTAGTCATCAGAGTAAGCTATCGAATAGTGTATTGCGTTGTATAGTATTTATTTTGATTATATTTTGTAGTTAATTCATCTGATTTGAGCAGTTGATACTTTCATTAATAAATTATAAATTACTATATCATAAAATTAGAATTTGTTACGTAAGTACGTAGCGTCTTGAAACTTTGTCGATTTTTCTATTTTTAGTTAAATTAAATTTTTAGTGTTTATAAAATATACAAATAAGGTAATAATTTGCTGTAAAAGCTATAATTTCATGACTATATTTTCTTACAATTACTATAATGTTTGTTTGAACAGCATTTAAAAGTATTTCAATTGATTCGAGTGTCAAACACCCAATTTGCTGTAACTGTAGGCGGCGGTGTTCGAATGTATTTAAGGGTACACGCAGCGTTCCATGGGTTTTATATTTCGAGTTTAGTGGCAAATTACACTAGCGTTTGTACTGAAATGAATGACATCTTCGATCAATGATGCTGCGTACACAAACACCACGCAATATTTTTATTTATAAAGCAAAATTGATATTAGGTTGTAAATAAATCTAATAACTGAGTTTTGTCCAACAAATCGGTAACTCAGATGTAATATTCAATATGCGTACTTATTTGTCATTTTTTCACTTTCATAAAAACACAAATTATAATATAATTTAATTGTTTGCGCAGCATGTACATTTCTGTATTTATTTAATTGTAGCTTTATTCGACAAGCGCTAGTGTATTCAGGCCTTAAGAATTTGTGCTTTGAAATGATTTATGTTAGAAGTTCAAAACCCACGCTTAATAATAGTTATTTACAATGTACTATCCAAACGGTGAATTCTAAGAAATTTCATAATATATAAGTAATATATTAATCTATATCCAATTTATTGAACACCTCATTATCCATATAGTGCTTAATAAATACTACTAACGTCATATTTCAGTATATTTATGAAAAGGTAACATGGTTTAAGAACTTTATTCTAAAAAAAGAGGTAATGAACTTAAACTTAAAGTTCACTATACGTAACAGCTTACTATATCGTTTATATTAAAAACACTAATATTACTTCGCACTAGTCGATTTCTAGAGGCTCTTCGGTGAAATACAATGGCGTAGGGCGAGTACAGGAAACATTATTTTACGCGATTGGTCCGTTAGTTGGTCGTCGTCATCTATTGGATATTCAGATTTAGCACATTAGCTGGGAAATGTGTGCGTGGTACGTGACCGTACCGTTGTCGCTGCATGCCCACTTGTGCCGTTATTTATTTATCTGTCGTTATCTGTACAATAATACACTTCGTGTGGATCCACTATTCATTAAGTAATAATAATGTCTATTTATAACGTATATGCACAATTTTATCCAATATTGTTTACAATTTCATAAGTGTAGTCATACGCGATTGCATCACACGTATAAATATCTCGATGTATTTTAAATTGTAAATCGATGTGTAGATTGCCCTTTATAGTATTTCACAGGCACAGGTACTGTGGATTCCTAAAGGCGTAATTGTAGACTAAGTCTAGATTAAACCTAGCCTAATTTTAAGTATAATTATCGAGATATCTCAGTGTCATCATAAACCATTTAGTCGGTGTGGATGTTTATCACGTACGTAGTAAATATATGTAAAAGTTATTTGTCTCTTGAAAATTTAAACCGGAAAGCCGTGCCGTTGCAAAATTCGTCGGATTTGATTCGATGATAAAAAAAAATTCAATGTATTTGTCTATTTATAAATACTAAATACCGATTGTGATTAAAATGTGTGTTAAATGTGTCGTACGTACGTAACACACATTTCAATATTATATTTAGGTGTTTTTGTTAAACTAAATTCATCTTATTAACAATAAATGTTGATTATTCTGATTCTAGAAGTCTTACTTACCTCTTTAAATATATGTGGTTTTAGAATTAATATGTTATCAATAAATATATGTCTCACTATGGGTGTTTTATTTCACGTACCATATTATTTATTTATTTTGATATTTAAACAATAGTAAAATATTTTTCTTACTTTATCATTCTTATTTTTAATTTTATTGTTGTAGTTCTTTACATCTACTTATTCGAGCGTTTGTATGTATGCAATACATATGTATTTATTTGACACGCTCTGAAGCTCACGGCTGTTATAAAATGAAAAAAAAAATCTTACTTTTTGGCGTCTCTCGACGAGTATATGAATCCGTAACGTGCGCCGTAGGAACCGTAGACGCCCCAGAAAAAAATATAGTCTAAACTAAAATTTTCGAGATAGATACACTACGTGTTAGCTACACCGTTGTCGTCCAGTCGTGATAGTGACGTCATCACAACGGAGTATACAAAAAGTGGGAGATAGCAAAAGATTGAATAAAACATATTAGATTATATGTAGTCATTTATATTACATAAAAAAAACAACAAAACAAGTAATGTTACCGATATATCAACTCTTGGCAACACTAGTATTTTTGTTTACTTTGTGCTTTTACGCACAGGACACAGGAGTACGTTTGTGCCGTGGCACGTTTACTTCGAAAGACAATTCACAAATTTTATATTTTTACTCAGAGTTTTAGTGCGGTCAGTTGGAAACGAATAAATTAATAAATATTTGATAGTTATCTGTTGTCACAGTGAAACAGATATAGGTAGAAAAAACATTGAAGTATTATCGACAACGGACTCATCAACCTTATAGAATTTTATTGTTTAGCAAAAATAGGCAATTTTAAGCCAAATATATTGCTAATTACAATATTAATAAAATAAGTAACAGATTTTTAAGAGCCTGTAAATCTCTTAGTTGTGAAATGTTACTTCCCTTCTGGTAACGAATTTTACACTATCATTGTAACTAAAAATACTCTTTATTATATTACTAGCATGAAACGTAACCGAAGTATACAACCTACACTCTTTTTCTTATTTAAAACTTTAAAATAGCAAAACAACGGCCATTTTGAACTTATGTCAAATTTAGTTCCAGGTACACTCAATGGCGGCGCTTCAAATCGGCACAAACGTTCTGTATAGCCAGTCCAGCATACTAGTATATTTTAAAGAGGTCAATGTTCTGAATGGATGGATCGATTTTAATTAAGTTTTATTTCCTTTGAAAGGTGTCTTAATTGAGAGTGTTCTTACGAATAGCTACGATTCAAGAAAATCTGTTCCGCCGCTTGAATATCATCAGCTCTTTTTGTTTCGAGGAGTTTTTAATTTAACACGCACTGTCCGGTTTCCAGACACAATAGTAAGACAATAGTAATAAACTATGCACGGGGCAGCGAAAGAGTTAGGTTATTATCATCATCCATAACTGGCCACGCACCGGCTTTGCACAAGTAAAGAAATTGCAATGTTTAATGTGGAATTCTCTAGAAAATTGTCGTCAAGTAGTGATCGTATCTTTTGCTCTATAGGTCCGGACCTCATGTCACCCTTTAATCATTTATTTATTTATTTATATTTCCTACTAACATCTACCATTACAGGGAAAACCTAAATCGATAAATGTAGCGTCTCAGTTCGAAAAGTAACAATTCAAATGGTAAAAGATTACTAATTACAACACAATAATTAATTTAAATAACAACACATAATAATTAATTTAAATGACAATGCATTATAATCAATTGTATAATACAATTTAAGAATAACATATTGTAAATAATGTCACTTTTGCGAACTCACTCCGTGAACACGAAAATAAGTCCAACTTCTCAGCTACCAAATTAAGTATGTGTATCGTTCGGTGTTGCGAACCAGTTTAGTCCTGCCGCGTGGCATCGCGAGCAAGCTCGGCTGCCGTCGCCGCTGTACATACCTATCAGGCACGCATAAGCCTATCCACTGCAGCATACCCGGGTTGCTGATGTAACCACGGAACACCCTTAAAATGTAGGTTACCAGCGCTAGATCTCTTCTAGTTTCAAAGAATTTTAAAACAAAGAAGGTGGGATACATCAAGGGGTAGGATGGATAAACCCCAAAGCCTATGATATATAAATCGCGTCAATTTATTCTGAATGCGCTCCAGCATAAGATTGTATTTATTTTCATGTGGAGCCCATATTGCCGAGTTACACTCCAGCTGACTCCTTACTAGAGCATCATACAGCACTGAGATTGCTTTAATGTTGGTAAATTTTACTGCTCTGCGAATGATAAACCCTCGTTGTTTATAAGCCTTCTTTCATATATTCATGATATGCTCCCGGAATGTCAATTTAATATCCATCTGGGCCCCAAGATTCCGGACTGATTCCTCCCTCTTCATCAGATCGCCATTCACCTTATAGTTGTAATGGAGTGGTGCCCTTGCACGACTATATGATAGAATAGAGCATTTTGAAATATTAAAGTGCAGTTTATTTTTGTGGCTCCATTCAACTACTTGGTCGATATCTTGCTGACGGTGGCGACAATCATCCTCACTCTTGATGGCTAAAAGCAACTTTAGGTCGTCTGCAAATAATAGACATTTAGCCTCTCTTACTACTTCGGGTAAATCAATAATCATTATGTTGAACTCTAACGGCCCTAAATTACTGCCTTGACTCACTTCAGACCTAGTAAAATATTCTCTCATGTAAGTTGAATAAAAATGAAGCAGTTTAGGCGTGCAGCCAGCTTTCGCCATCTTTGTAGGATATCGTTATCTACCAAGTCGAACGCCTTTCTAAAATCAAATTAGGCGGCATCTACCTGCAACCCTGTATCAACATGAGGAACTAAATACGTCATTGCTTTTAAGAGGTTACTAGTTGTGCTCCTCTCTAGCCGGAAGCCGTGCTGGACGTCCGATAACTGCGGTGCAACTTGTTCCTATACACTTCGCTGAATGACTCCCTCAAACACCTTCGCAGGTGCTGAGAGAATCGCCACTAGTCTGAAGGATTCAACTGTAGGTTTGTTACCCCCTTTGGTATCGAAATAACAACACGCGTGATTTTCCAACTTTTTGGAAAATATGAATTCTTCAGACACAAGTTGAAAATATGTAATAACGGTTCTGTCAGCACTGAGCGGCAGTCTCGCACCACAAAAGTAGTTCTAAGAAAGAGTCCTCATCGTTAAGCCATACCCCGAACCAAGCTAGATATTATCTCTTTTGGTATAAAACATTATCTCCACACCTACATAGAAAATCCGATCTCCTGTATCGTGGAGTCAGTTTAGATACATAGAATTCACAAGGAACCTCCGGAGTCGGAACAATTATTTGTAGGTCTTACATATACTTGTTCTACTTATCGTTCCTACTCATTCCGAGCCACTGCGCCACGCAGCCAGACAGACAGACAGACACACACACACACACACACACACACACACACACACACACACACACACACACACACACACACACACCGCACACACGCGCACACGCGCGCACACACACACACACACACACACACAAATTTAATCAAAATTGATCCAGCCGTTTAGGAGGAGTTTAGCCACATACACACGGACAGAAAAATTATATGACAAGACATGTGGTGAGGTTGAAAGGAGTCTGTAGGATGACAGAGGTTACTAAGCTTAACTGAAATAATTCGATATTGCTATCATAGTTAACTAAGCTCACTTAGCTTGGCTCTGTCGTTCGGTTATTAAAAAAAAATATTTTAAACGTAAACGTGCTCAATCTTCACATTTGTTCAAGAAACCGGTTAAGTATATTTTTGCCTCCAACCCCTCTCTCTTCCTCCTTTCATTTATGGTCACTGATCTATTGCCTACCTTGTCGACTTAGTGCATAGGTTTTGTCGTTTATTATTTCAGTGCACCCTACCTATTTATCTTTGTACCCCTTTTATTTATTTTCTGGGCTGTTCGCAGCCCATCTAAGAAAGTATCCATAGAACTCTTTGTGTCTGGAAGAAATTGCTGTGTAGCAATAATTTCTTCATCAAATTAATCTTTCGTTAATGTCCAATAAACAGTATTGTATTGTAAAGTATTAGGTATTTACAAAGATACTGTTCAAGTTTATTACAATCTAGGTTTCGGGCTGATATTTTTAGCTTAAACAGGTAAAGGTAGGGCATTAAAGAAAACCGACTGTTTTAAGTATCTTTTATTTTTTAAACATTTTGTAATAACATGTTTCATATACAATATTAAATATTCGTCACCTTAATGTCCGACATGCTGCATAATTTAGAACGATTTTAAAACATACGTGTAGATTTTCTATCTCTTATTCGTTTCGTGCTTAATATAATCTGGTGTTATCATTACAATAATTTATAAGTGCTACAATTCCAATAAAGGCGCTTTAATTCATTCTACATTATAAGTAGATCATGAACGTCGTAAACCTATAGACTACGCTACGTTTTTGTGATAATTAGATACTAATCATGTTGCATGAAATTTGATTATAATCTTAATCTTGAAGGTTAGTAATCGACGTCAACTAAAAGCTATTATGTTCATCCATGTTAATTACTAACTTCTCATCTAGGTTATAAACGAATATGTTAGAAATAATGATATGTGGTTATTTCGTTTATACGTAAACTATTTAAACATTCAAAAGTAACAATTAATTTTTAAATATCACATAATATTCGTAAATATATTCATCTATTATATTAATATTTTATAATATCTTATGTGGTCCATTGTAACACATTAATTCTAATACGTGCCTTGCCAGCTTTGCGATATTTTATATAAATTTTTGATGATATATAGTTTTGTGCTTACAAGTAAAAACAAAACGGAGTGTCTTTATTGATATCAAACAAACAATACTACGTATGAATTAAAAAAAAAACATGTAATATTGTATCAGTACATTACAAGAGCAACAAATATATTCCAGACGTTCAAAAATGCAGACGAATTAATGGGTGCGTTTGGCAGAAAAAAGCGCTAGCAAGCGCTTATAAGCGCTAAAATAGTTTTCGGCCAGGACACGATTGCTACTTCAGTAGCGCTGACACAATCCGCCATTTTGCTTATTTAATTTATTTGTTTTGAAGTAGAGTTTATAATTTGTTTTGTGCAATATTAGTTTTAAGTAATATAATGTTATGAATAGACATATACATGTTATTAAAAATTCATGATTGGTAAGTTTTTAATATGAATACTTTACAAACATATATTTAAATTAGGTTAGGTTCTCCGGTTAAAACTAACATCGTGTCCTGGAGGAAAATAGCTACTTACGATTTGACAGCGCTTACCGCTTACGATCGCCATTTTGCTTACAAGCGCTTGCTAGCGCTTTTTTCTGCCAAACGCACCCAATAATTACCGGATTAGTTTTATTGAAGTAAATTCTACATGTTGCGTGAACTAGACTCTAAGCATATGGGTAAACTGTTGTATATTATTGCGTTAACGCTGCCATTTTTACGTGTTTGGAAGACCAGTGGATTTTATTTTGCTAGAGGTTATAACTTTATTATATTATTTCAAAACGGTATTTTAAATGCTCAAACTTAACAGCAGGGTAAAGTTAACGGCTTTTTGAAGTCAGATTAATACGAACACATTCATATTTCTACATGCCTATCCGGAATTACGAATGTAAACATTCATATCACAATTGTTTGTGTAAACCCTTATTGAAAAACTTGATTTGGATATGTCCGTTATGATAACAATTGACAAGTCCCTGCTTCAAGATTATTTGTAACAACATATATAGATATACTAAGCGACGTTCACCTATTATTAAATCCACAGCCGCAACGAATTTCTGCTATTAAAAATTCAGCTATTATTCTATAAAAAGAACATTACAAATGATTTAATGTATAAATTGTATCACCTAAAATGACCGACTAAATAGACAGTTGCGGTGAATTTTGATTTCTACGTCTGGAAATACTAGCTTCGATGTATCAGTTGAGCGCAGTCGCTCGTCTCTGTTACATAGGTATTGTCTATGGTCGCTCGCTAGCTGGCACGCGTCGCGGAGATGTTATTCGTTGAGTATGCAAGTACGCATCAGAGCGTCGCAAACTGCGTATGGGTCGCAGTTCGAAGCCGGTCGCCTGTCTTCTAGGTAGCCCTTTTTCTCCTCTGCGACGGCGCGTGGTATTCTTATGCTGCTACCGCGGTTGGCGACTCCTAATTAGAACATTGATTATAATAAATAATAATAATAATCATAATGTCCTCCAGACCGAATTTCAGTCACGACGGCCAGCCACAACGGAGGCTAGCCATCGGCGCAGGACAGGATTATAGTGACCAAGTGTATGCCGCAAGCACAGGTGAATCTCTATTCCCTCACTCTTATAATCCGATGGGACGGTAAACCGACACGACCGGAGAGAGACCAACGGATTTACGTGCTTTCCGAGGCACGGGGGTGAGACACCGCCAACTTCCTGACTCCGGGCAACTACGGAGAATTTCTTGACGGAAAAACTCAATAATTAATTTTTTGGCCCGGCCCGGGATTCGAACCCAGGACCTCATGATCAGCAGTCGCACTACTACAACCGCTAGACCAACGAGGCAGTCGTTGGTTATAAATAAATATACTATAATAAAAGTATATTTTCTTACGAGAACGGAAATGATAAAGTAACAAACGGAATGATAAAGATTATGCCTTAACACAATGTCCCTGGCATCCTGTTCGCAAACTGCAGATCCAAAGATTCAAATCCCCCATAATACTAATTGACTGTCAAGTAAACAGTAGTATTCTGCTAACACATACCGGCGCTGAAGTCGTTAATACTGGCAGTTTCATGAAGGCCGGTGAGTCTTCTTTCGTTATCTTTACCCCCACGGGGGTCATACACCTTGATGTGCTTCATGTGCACCTTCGACAGCTTGTCTATGGCCTTTTCGATTTCACTGCAACAATCAATTAATAATGTAAAAATTAAGAAATTTAAGCTTTCAACGAAGAGAGAGTTTAGTAACTATAGGCAATGGAATGTCGATTACATCAATGTCCATACATTGTAACATATGCTGTCATCAAGTTTGCTTTTGTTGCAAAACTATAGTGACTAACGAATTCACATGAAATCTGATGGTAAGTGGCTGCTGCAGTTCATGGATACCTGCAGCCAACTCCCAGCAAATAAGTCTAAAGATGCATCGTCACTTCTGAGAACTGATGGAAGGCTCACCTTTACTGTAATATACTGGCTATATAAACCCTCTAGACCGGGATACAGCAGTGAAAGAACTGCTATTTGGCGAGAGAAATAGGTAACAAATTAATGTTGGCATGTTCTACGCTTACATCCCCTTACATATTTTAAAATGCGTGCTAATTAGTGTTGCCAGGGTGCTAATTTTCCTTGTTTGATGAAGTTTTATTTTAGCATCTCATAAATATTAGTATATTATTATCAATAATGAAAGGTCTAGCAACATCAATAATAGGTTTTTGCGAAGTTACAGCTGCTATTGTGAGACTGTCCTCTAGAATTGAAGAGTATTGTTGCCTTAACAGATTTCTCAATTCAAAAGTACGTTAGCCAAAGTCTCAGAATTTTTTAAACTCTAGTTATATTTAGTTATTTAGTTAGTTTTTGCTCGTAAAAGATAAGGTGTAATGCTTCTTTTAATACATAGTTATCATCCTTTGATAAATAAAGACGATCACTTCTTGTTTGATTCCGCGCAATAATCGTAAATGTTTTCCTAAACACCTCGACCCGAATTGCGACCAAGGTGATGCAAGATAAGTCATTTTAATTAATGATAAAAACTGAGCAAAAGTTTTTTGCGTACCGTACAATTTAGCATTGGAAAAAAATGCCACATAATTTAACTAATAGAGAAAAATACACGAGAAATTGAATTAAACTTCGAATGCTATCTACAATAATACTATAACACTACTATCATTTTGGGTTTTAATGGTAAAAAAGGGAAAAATGTGACAAATTTTCAAAAAAAAGGTCGATAAAATAAAAATAGTTAAGTTGAGAAAATAAACCCATGTAAAATTTAAAATGATGAGTCTTGTATGATCGCGGCACAAGCGCAAGGGAATCCGTCACCCCTTTTCTCACATTCTGTAGGTGTCTTACTGATACATTGGAACGGTCTTTTAGATAGTGATTCGCGTGACAGCTTAATCATCTCGTATTTGGTTTAAGCATAAAATAGGTAGCAAAACGTCGACAGGAAGAGGTCAAACATTTGATTGCTTAAAGAGCTGAGGAGAAAAAAATACCTCTCAACCATTACTCTCTTAGAAATGAGTACGACCGGTGTACATTTTATGTGGGTATACATACACATACAAAATGTTCATTTCATTTCTTTTTAAAGGCGTACTCACATAATACCGTTCTCCTCTCTCATCTTCTTCGTAGAGAAGTTGGTGTGAGCTCCGGAACCGTTCCAGTCTTGTACCGGCTTAGGATCGAAGGTGACGATGACTCCGTACTCCTCGGCCAACCTGTGCAGAATGTACCGCGCCACCCACAGATCGTCAGCGGCAGTAACTCCCACCGATGGACCAACTTGGAACTCCCACTGAGATGGCATCACTTCCGCGTTAGTGCCGCATATTGGTACTCCGGCGTAAAGACAACATCTGTAGAAAATATTGTATTTTTTACTATACTACTTAACCCAAACTGGTAATGTTTTATACAGGTATGTACTTTTAGTATTAAAATTCTAGATACCTGTCATAAATAATAAAAATGTAACAATGTATTTACTTTTATATATCCTCCTTTTATAAAGGTTTCCTTTACTAATTGATTCGCTTTTCAGGGTTTTATAGCTTTGGGTAAGGATTTCCATCATTTGTCTAAAGGTTGATAATTATTTTTTTAAATGTCGGACACTCATGGGCCTAATCCTAGACCGGACGTAAAGACATTATTTCGCAATACTAACTAATTTAAGCTCTAAGTACGTACCCATATGATATTACTAAATATTTTAGCTGTCATCTACATTTTATGTGTGCGAAATGCATATGTACATATTCAAAATAACCATCAGTTTATAAATAAAATTTCTACCAAATGGACTTCTCCCAATAGAGGTAGGAAGAGTGCGTCTACAAAGTAAGTTTTTAAAAACGATTTTTATTAAAGACGTTATATTCGTAAAGGTTCATTTAATAGTTTAGTAAGTATACTAAACCTTAATTTTGCAATAAATTACAAATAGCTATGAAATATAGTCAATCAAATTCAACTTTAAAAATATATGCTGGGAGTCCCAACATTGACCCTAGGTAAATGTTCAAACAGTATAGTGTCCAAATTAATACTATGTCTTACATGGCCTTACCTGTAGTGAGCTTCAACTAAATCCCTGGCGAAGACCTTGTTTGCGCCAACGCCGCAGTAGTAAGGCCCCTGTGGTGGCGGAAAGCCGCCCGGCGGCCAGCCAAAGGGCCTGAGATCCGAGTCAAGCAGAATATACTCCTGCTCGATACCGAACCAGGGCTCTTCATCCTTGCATTTGTCGTAAGCCTCCTGACACTTTATCCGATGATTGGTCTCTGGGACAGGATTTAATAATTTTATTTACAGACATAACATCTAAGTAACTTTAAAGTATAACGTTACATTGTTTTTATGGGAGAGCTGCAACACTACCCTGGGTATTCGCAGGTGCGTTGCCGGCTTTTTAAAAATGAGCAGGCGATACTTTTCTCAAATGTCTGAAGGAAGGAAATTTAAATCACACAGTTGAGAAATCGTATTATAAATATAAAACGTGACAGCGTGACTTCCTTTTTAGAAAATTAGAACATGAAGTGACGGATCCTGGGTTCTATCTAATTTTAACCTAAGCATATTAGTGTATTGGCCAAAATAACACTTTGGTGTTCACTGTTCCCAATTACATTTAATATTTATTATTATTTCAAATTTGCCATTCATTTTTTAATTCCAATATTTGCTATGTTATGTCCATTCAGCCAAATTCGTTTAAATTCAATTCTCGATACCAACCTCGCCATTTGGTCGCTGACTTCAGGTGAGCCGCCAGTTCATCAACCCCCTCCTCCTTCTTTAAATAAATCACCAAGGGATTACCACGTGTATATTCATTTTAGAGTATTCTATTGCTTACAAATCCTTGCCGCGCAATATCTTATTATTAACGAAACATTCTACTCTTAGTATCGGAGGTTATCGTAGAGACAGTTCACGGTCTTTTATTATCGTAGTATCATTTCTAAACAATCGCACATGTTTTGTTCATCAGCGGCTGTTACTGCCTTTATATTATTATATTAATCATGCCGAATAGTTCTTAATTCTTAATGGTAAAAAGTTAAAGAATAACTATAATTACGCAAACGGAAAGTATAAATCCATCGGAATTAACAAATCGAACTAACTGAGCACGTAACATAAAAGTTTAATAATAATCGTGAAAAGGCATGTGTTTGTAAGAGATTATAAATATTCCCCTTACCGAATGGGATATATAGTGGAAAGCTTATTCCTCTAATACTTTGCAATAAAATGTACAAATAAGCGAATTTGTTCCACAGTTGCTTTATATTCGACAAATTTCCGTCAGAACTTAGGTAATCTAGAAAATAGATTAGAAGACAATTAAAGAACAATTTTTTAAATCTAACTTTTTCGGATAAAATATAGTCTATAGTACTCCTGGCATTGCTTTCTATTTGTAGATACGTCGAGTTTCATTACAATCGGTTTGAAGATTAACCGAACAGACAGACCGACAGATAAACAACATTTTTAAAAATGTTGACAGATATTATGTTGATATTTCAAACAGGCACTTCAATTTTTATTTATAATTTTGTATATATTATACTATGTTATCTTGGAAACTTATTCATATTATTATGAACAAGGGTTACAAAACCGACCGATTTCTGACAGTTCACCAATACAACCATTCCTAACATTATAACCTAGATTTTTTTTAAAGTAGCAACTTTTATATGTTTCTGTTCTAGACAATTATTGCCTTAGTTTTTAAGTCTGTTCACCCCTGTATTACGTTCTGCAGCAAGGCAGGAAATAAACTTAATAGCATTTCCAAATTACATGCATTACATTCACGAACATTTTAAATTTTTTTCAATTTCATTTACAAATTCGATTCGCCTTTACTCAGAGGATCTAATGAGTGGTTAGGTGCATAGATTATAATTATAATAAATACTACGGAGTTGGCGGTAACTTGACTATAGTTGTCAAAATTACCTTTTAAATAACTCATATAACCGTGCACTGCCTCGTTGGTTTAGTGGTTGTAGTAGGTCGACTGCTGTTCATGAGGTCCTTCCTGGGTTCGAATCCCAGGTCGGGCCAAAAAATCAATTATTGAGTTTTTCCGTCAATAGCTGCCCGCAGTCAGGAAGTAATGGCGGTGTCTTACCCCCGTGCCTCGGAAAGCGCGTAAAGCTGTTGGTCCTGCGGCAGATCTCTCTCCGGTTGTGTCAGTTTACCGTCCCATAAGATACTGAGCGTGAGGGAATAGAGAGTGCACCTGTGCTCGCGCATACACTTGGGAACTATAATCCTGTCTTGCGCCGATGGCTAGCCTCCGTTGAAGCTTGCCACGGGGACCAGAATTCGGTCCGGAGGACATTATTATTAGTATAACGGTGCAATAAAATGCGCGATACTAATTAATATTCGTTTGCATTAATGTTTTGTCAGATAGGCATTAGTGTCTTCTTAATAACAAATAAAAAAATAAAACACTGCGATTGCAAACTCGACTGCTAAGCGTCCCAGCTATTGTAAAATAACATTTTAAACTTACATTTTGAAATTCCTCTTGTGAACCAAGTAAAAACCATATTTTTTGACAAGCTCACGTGCCAAAAACAATGAATATTCATTCATTTAGGATGCTGCGAAATTCTCTGCTGAACATTGGCCTTCCTACTATTTGCCACAATTGCCACGCTTGGCAGGCGGGTTGGCGTTGTCCTATTTTTGAGTTGTGAGTAGGAAAGGAAGATGCTGCTACCCATCTACTTCCTGTTTTTCCTGTCGCCTTTTAAAATATCTAATGGATGACACGGGGCAGTGACTTCACTTTTTTGTAGAATAAAGGTGACAAACGAGCACACAGTTCACCTGATGGTAAGTGGATGCTGTGGCCCATAGACTTCTACATTTATCCTCGATTTAGAATCTAAATACAGATTCGTTGTCACCCCTGAGGACTAAGATGGAATGCCTCGTTTCTATCAAAAAAGAAGTCTTTTTATAGAAGAGGGGGCAAACGAGCATGCGGCTCACCTAATGGTAAGTGACTACCGCCGCCCATGAACAACCGCAACACTACACATGCGTTGCCGGCATTTTAGAAATGTGCAAGCTCTTTTATTGAACGTCCCTAAGTCGTATCGATCCAGAAAAGTCGCCGGTGGTAAAGAATTCCACAGAGAAGTTGTACGAGGAAGAAAACTCCTAGTAAAACTTACAGTAGTGGACGGTATCGGGAATTTTGATGCGATGTGCGTTCGTGAAATTTGGCGACTGGAACTAATCCGAACAATTCCTCAAAACACTCCCCATGAACATAGATACGATAGAAAACGCAAAGCGATGCAATATCCCTACGCACCGCCAGTGAATCGAGCCGATCAGAAAAAACTTGGTCGTCGACAATTCGGATCGTACTCTCTGTGCAGAGATGGGAGAGATGACTGACAGAAGTTCCCTTGGACAGCCTTGGCGAGAGAATGCAAGGATTTCAGAAGGAAGGCGACCTAGCTTCTCGATAATTCTGCCGATGTGCTCAGACCTTGCCTTGGCAATGACTCTTTTGAAGGACCTAAAAGCGGAATTATACTTCTTTCAAGAGCGCTGGTGTTTACATCCCGAGACGTTGTTGTGTCAGCCCAGGCCCGGTAGCTCTCCTGCTTATAGCGTGATGCTATTTTACAGGAGCGACCAAACCATGGCTGGGATCTGCCTCCGATGGGCACCACAGAGGAAGAAATAAAAAGTTCCATACCCTGAAGTACCAAATCAGCGACAGAATCAGCAACAACGCTAGGATCGTCCAGCGAGAAGCAAACCCGCATCTCATCCCAATCTGCCGACCTATAGTACCAAACACGGCGGCAGCCTATAGAATGTAACCGCGACCTATAGAATCCCATGTAACTAGAACCACACTCCGGACAAGACAATGGTCCGACGTGCCTAAAGGGGCATCGACGGAAACCTGATATCCGTCCGGATGAGAGGTCAGAAGACGGTCCAACAGGTGTATAATCTTCCACATCTGGAATCCGCGTAAGCGCGGTAACCAGTTGTGTTAAACCATATGCCAAAGCAAAGTCATAAACAGATCTCCCCGCATGATCGGTTGAACGTGAACCAAGCCATTTAGCGTGGTGGGCTTTAAAATTGCCGAGGATCACGATCTCTGCGGAGGGGATATGCTGTAGCAACGAATGTGTGGCCATTTGGACGTGATCGAAGAGTCGGTCTGTTTCAGCATTATCGCTATGGGACCTATAGAGGAACCCGTAGACGCGCGGATCCTTCGTTGCTGTCTACGCGTAGCCAAAGAATTGACAGGTCCGAAACTTAAAGACGGCCGAGACGTCGAGAACAGATGTCCTCTCTGATGTATACGCAAACTCCAGCCCAAGGCACAAAGGAGTGATCCAGTTTTTACCCCGGGTAGGAGAGATACGAAGCATCAGCCGGAGAGAACAACTGCGTCTCGGTCAGAAAGACCAGAGCCGGTCTCGCCGTCTCGAGATGGTAGTGGACAACGTTAAGGTTGGAATGAAGTCCCCTGATACCGCAAAAACTCACGGATAGCGTGGCAGGTCGCCTTGGTGTTGTTGCTCCGCTTGTCCCGAGAAGTTTTGTCGTGAGCGGAACTGACCTCCCCCCTTCCCCAAAATACGCGGGGCAGCCTGAGCAACCACGCTCAGGATGAGTAACTTGATAGTGAATGCTCAGCGAGAGATTCTCCGTCACTGCTGCTGCTGGGGTAGTTCTTCACTTAATTCCGCTACCATTTTAAGGAGGGGGGGGGGGGAATTGGGCCTCCAGTCACCGGTATTCTGTGAGGTCGTGGTACCACTCCGGTTTGAGCCAGCCGGGTTTGCTACAGCAAAAACTGCCGCGTGGCTCTACCACTGTTAAAAGTTTCCGGATCTCTACACTTACCATACGAAACACAGCAGTATTAAACTGCTATTTTACGCTGGTATTCTGTGAGAGCGTGGTCCTTCCCCGGTCGAGCCGACCCATTCATGCTACAACCATAATATAGCTGCAGCGTGGCTCTACCATGTATAAATCTAATGGATGACACGGGGCAGTGGCTTCACTTACGCCGTTACTACAAACAGAGACATATTTATATTATGTATACATAGTCATAACAAAATTTATATGTAATGCATAGATAAATATAATATAAATACGGACTTTCACTTAGCACAATCCTGACGCACCTCTCTCATTTAATTTCTCGTTAATTAGGCCCATCTTCATAATTAAAGATGGGCAACCGTACTACATTGCGAAAATATTTATTTACGCAAAAGGAATCTATAACATTTCATTAATGCCGAGGATTAATGGATAAAAACATCAGTAATAATCGAAAACTCACTAGTAGGCTCCATGTTGTATTTATAGGTGTCGCACATAACGAGCAGATGGTTACCGCGACGGAATGGATCTTTGTACAGGGCGCGGGGCACTAGAAATGTGTCCGAGTTGTGTCCGTCCGCCTGCCCAGTAGAGCTGCCGTCGAAGTTCCATACAGGAAGATCTAAAACATTTGATTCTGTTAGCAGATTCTTGATCACATGGCCAGCTATAGATAAAAACAGTCATTAGATGGTGACAAGATAATGATTTCTTATATTTATTTTTTTGATTGATTTATCACTATTAATTATTTTAACTTTTTAAATTCCCGACATTTCGGGCACTTGACAGCACCCATGGTCACGGGACTGAAATGTTTCACGCCCTGATGTCATAGTTAACAAAGGCTACCTTCAACTTTTAGTTCTTAATTTTTGATAATTGATAGAATCAGGCGTTACTTTGCGGAAATCCATTATAATAAAGATATTAATAGTTACTTTGCAACCATCCGCTTAATAAAAAATCCTTAATTGCGTGCACTAATCCCGTAACCACTAATTCCAGCACCACTACTCCCAATACCACTATTCTAGTCTAACTTAGCGGTCAGCCGCCGTAGAGTCTACATTACCTGAGGATGCCTCGTGTAGAGGCGAAACACGTGTCGTATTATCGTCGATGGTGTGTCTTTCTTAGAATAGTGTCGTTGGGAGTAGTGGTGCTGGTATATATTAGTGGTGACGGGATTAGTGCACGCAATTGAGGGAGGGCGGGAGGTGCTCTTCAAACTAGATAAGACACATCATTTTATTTAATTACGCGGATGGCTGCAAAATAACTATTAATAGCCTTATCTTAATTTTTGGTTCGATCTACACAGTCTTGCAACAGTATCCTTGGGCTTGGATTTTGTTTTATAAATTACGGGATCCCAAAAGCAGATAGTAATATCCAAACATCTTCTCCATTGACATTAAGATGTTTTTTTTTCAATAACCTCGCGAATCATCTTTGGTTTTGAAATTTTGGTCTTTGGAAACAGTGTTCTTTTGGGAGGATTTGTGGTCTATCAAATATCATATAATGGTTGGGACGATACTGCACATGTTGACATTCTGCAGACTTCGCGGAGAGTCGGTGCTTCACATCAGCGAATGTTCTTTTAAGAAACAGTAATTGGTGACAAGATAATCGAATTTAGAGAAAATAAAATTGCAGTTATATTATGTTTGTAGCATATGATAGGGTCGACTCGATCGGAGAACGATTACGCTCTATCAGAATACCAGCGTAAAATAGCAGCTTAGTGCTCCTATGTTTCGTAAGATGAGTGTAGACAACCTGAGATCCTTCGTGCGAGAAACGGGGCATTCGATCTTAGTCCTCAAGGGTGACAACGCATTCGCATTACGATCAGGTGGAATATGTGAATGTTTACTATCGCCTTATTTTATACCAAAAAATTCTGGATTATATACTTTTAGAACTTAAAAAAGTGGTGTTTATAGTAATTGATTTGCGCTTTTAAATTACCTTTTCCTTTTTTACCGTAATGTTGAAACTTTCCAAATACTGTTTCTACTGGTATATTACCTATATCAATCAATTTTCGGTAGTTAACTACAAGTAGGCTATAAATATATCTAATTATTAAGCAATAGAATCACGTAAATATATAATTTACATTAATTATTCAATATTTTTTTATTTTAATAATATAAATATTCTACTGCGATAATTACTAAATAATATTATATAGTATTATACAACCACAACTTAAAAATAATTTTAAATCTATCAAAATACTTCGAGGGCTACCTAACGACGCAATAAAAATAATAACGCTACAAAAGGGTTCTGCGCTACATTTCTACGATTGCTAGACAATATTAGAGAAACCTCTCAAGTTCTCATCAAAGCTATCCCTGTTCTCTCTCTCTCTTTGCGCGCATCGAATACCGGGAACATCGGGTACATTCTTCGGGAAAAAGTACGGCGGTGAGTATTTGTATGCATGGGACATAGTCAAATCTTTACTCGCTGACAGTTTACGTTGCTCGTACAATGCCTCTAAGATCCTTGTTAGCTTATCTGCGATAAAATAATAGATTTGTTTTCAAATTCGAGGATATATGTACAATAAGAAACAAGAGAAATATAATTTATTAATTTTATTTATTAAGGCGTATCGGTGACTATTTATTGATTATCACTTACTTATATTAAGTTTATTTGAAATAATATTTATCTCTACTTTTAATTTAGTTAATTGAAGTAATATTTATCTCTACTATACCTATGTATCGTTATTCCGTTGTTGTTTAGTGAAAAGAGTTAGAGCAACTTTAAAAAAAAACAACAATTAATGTCGATTATTATTTGTCCATTGACTTTACAGGGTGGGCCATCTAACGTTTGGAATTGGAACTATAGTTATTTTGAGATTCGAAAGTTTGATGATATTTCCGATGTGACAGAAATTTAGTTTTATGCTTAGAGTAATTACATACAAATGTATGCATAGAGAGAATCCACAATTCTGCATAAATTAAGTCAATGTACTTGTCTCGCTTCTTATAATTTAATTTTCGATAAGGCAAAAAGAAACAAACCTATTGAAAGATGTTGCGTGTAATGCTTGCGTGGACATATAAATACCAAGTGGGCATCTTTGGTCTTTTATACTATGCCAAATATGAGAAGTGCACTCGTGTCTTCTGATTTACTAGAAAAAATTACATCCCTATTGTAGTAGTATTTTATATGACGTTACTTTACAAGACATGACGTCTTTAATCTATAGTGATTTTGTACACAATGTTGGCAACAATCGCCATCAATATACTCGTTTTTGTTTAGTTATTTATTTTTACTAATTACTATTAATCGAACCATCAAATAAATTGTTTTTTAAACCAAATGCTGTGTGCCGGACGGGCGAAACTCTTCGGAGTAAATGTCGAAGATACTTCGCGAGTCGCTCACGTCCTACACCTATAGGTTCCGGAGGGTACTTCCACTGCCGTCTTTGTGGGTGCCGCTGAGATATTGTAGGCTGAGGTTCAAATCAAAATGCACGATTTATAAATACAAATAGCAAGGTAGTGGCCAGTGGTTCGACTGATTGATTAGTCGCGAAATTTTATAACTATTGTTTATTGACCACGGTTGTTCAACTACGGTTGTTCACTATTGGTTGGTCACTGTATATTTCAAAAGATTTCTTTAAATTGTACGGTAATATCAAATATCTATTGGTAGTAGCTGGTTTTCTAACACTAGTGACTAGCAGCTATTATCAACTAAACTAGCTGATTTTATCACTTGTGTAACTGCGGATATCAGTTACCACTTTCACTATGTGTAACTGCGAATATCAGTTACGACCTTTTCGGCTAGCTAACACTTTCACTATTCACTATATACTGCTATTAGTCACTTCAGCTACTACCGGATACTACTGCTTGTCACTAGTAGTTCTTCACACTACTACTACTACTGGGTTCCGAGCCCCTAAGGTTGACTTTGGCTATACCTTACAGTGAGCCGCTTGCCATTTTCCGTTTTGCGTCTTTATTGCATAAACTTTTCACTATGCAAATGGCATAAACTACAATATTCTATAAAATAATTGCATTAACATGCTATACATCATCAAATCGGTAGTCTGGTACTTTATTAGTATATCATAAAGGTTAGTCAAAACATTAACATTGTAAAAAGTTATTAAACGAAATGTCCCAAATTTTCATAATATTTGGGTACATTAATTCTTTGATTTTTCTATAACTACCAAATGCGTTTAATTATACAAAATATTCCTACACTTCCTTAATCTATAAGCCATATGCTAATTCAATGTCCTATTTACAACTCTTTTAGAATATAAAATTATTCTGATTATTTTCAGTATGAACTATTACGCAGTTAATTAAAAACTTCTAGAGAGTTCTACGATACGATGCGCTGCGATTGGTCGATTTTTCTTAATACAATAAAAGTTGTTTATATCACTTGTTATCAAAACGACATTCTATACAAATATACTAAGAGTTATAAACATGCTACACAACTATATTAATACGCGTTTTCACCCAGTTTTGTCGGTAATTCTACTATTAATACAAAAAACAATATTCTTTATCACTTTGTTTCTTAGCGTTGTTAGGCCGTCGCGAACATGATGAATATTATTGTATTAAATTGCAAATACTCGTTCCGCAAACTTTAAAAACTAATAGTTTGGGAGGTATGAATACAGTCTTGGCAGACACACGGCACATATGCGAGTTGGATCCCATTTGTAATTCCAATTTTAAAGCCTGTCTAACGACCCGCCCTAGCACTTTGCATGTCTGTTTTCTAGATCTCGATAACATCGTTATATAGATTCACCACTCGCTTAGCGAAAAACTAAACTTTATCTGCTTGGATGAAAATATTTCGAAATCTTGAAGTTGAAAAACGTAAAATAAACCACTACCTCCCACCAAACAATATATTTCGTTACTTAGAAGCTCTAAGACCCCATACTATTATGTACCTGAGTATCGTTAAAGACGACGTAATGTAATGGAACGGGAGGTAGGCAAAAGTGTATTTGTAACAACAACACAAAATAATAAAAAATTGCGATTGCCAAACCACTTGCTAAGAGAGGCAACTATGGGAAATATTCCCCTTATATTCAGCACTGGACTTTGGATAAGCTGGAATTAAAGAATTAAAGATGGATAATATCTTGAGGGAGCAGAGAGGATGGGAATGGGTAATACTTTCGTAATCGACTTATTGGTAGTAATGATCTAGGGACAAAAGAGAAGGCAGACCGCAGGCGTGACTTTGTTATTGTACTCTCACAGCATTGCCCTTTGTGTACGTTCCATGAAGCAAACTCAGTGTTGATTAAACAAACACAGTTATTTTTCCCTGTGAAACCCATAATTAGTTTAAGGATTATTTGGCGGAAATATACCAGCTGAACTTAAGTAGATTTCATAGTGACCTTATCATTCGAGGTACGTTTACCTTTTCACGATATATTTTAGAATATGACGATAGTACGAAATATCGTATTATTCACCTATGTTTTTATTGTAAAATGTCAGATAAAGTTTCCATGAATAGCAAACATCATCGTAAAGAGTTCAGCTACAAGAATTTTGTTCTTATGTCTAT